TTCCCTTCAAAATAAGAGCTTGGATTTTAAAGTTTTCCATGTAGTTGCTCCAGTTGACCACTAGATGTCAGTCTTCATCAGCATAACATCTTTAAACCGTTTCTGTGTCTCTAACCCCGTTGCTTCTACCAATTACGTCAAGTATTGAGCTCCAGTGTTTAAACTTTTTTTTTTAAAAAAGGAGCTCTGGTTGTAAAGTAAAATAAATCAATGCATACAAAATTTTAGTATGGATTACAAACGTTAACTGTTTTAGCTGGGACAGGGAGTTCTAAACATTGCCTTCCTGCTACGTAAGCAGATACAAAGCATTGTGGGAAATGAACCGTCACCGAATTTAATTTTAGATCTATAAAGGTATCTATTTTAATTTTAGAAAGCGCAAATCTGCGTATGAATTATAAAAATTAGTAAGACCACTAAATCGCAAATGATATTTATATAAATATAAATAAATATTTAGGTCCGCAATTAGCGGATTTGCGCTTTAGCGGGTTGGTGCCCACCACTGCCAATGCATGTTGACACATCTGAGGACTGCGTCTCCTGCTAAAAGAATCACTTCTTTAATGATTATGACAGAGAAAGAGAGTGTCATTGTTTTAGGTGGCTTTGACTCAGCTAAGCACAAAAAAACAGCAACTACTATAACGCAGGGTGTTTGAAAGCACTCAGGTGGGGGTAGGGTGCGTGTGGGGGGTGTTTAGCGGCTAGTTGGTCTGAGGCCAAGAATGTGTGGCTTTTCACCGTGAACGAACTCACGCTCGTTAAAGTTGTGACTCTTTCAAGCAGCGTAAACACCTGGCAGACGTAGAAAAAGTAAAAGAGTGGGATGCAGATGAGTAAAAAAAGGAAGGAAGGAAGGAGACACTTTTAGACAAGTCCAAAACAGACACAGGAAAGTTTCAAGGTTTATAAACTAAAAGAGAAAAATTCAAACCCAAATTGTAACACAGCATGATCAGTTATTGGCTACCAAATGCTGCTGCTTTTGCATCTGCATTCCCCTGCTCTGCAGGCTTGGACCAATAATAATAATAATAATAATAATAATAATAATAATAATAATAATAATAATAAACTGAACAGATACAATAAGGTTTCATGCTCCACTGGAGACATGGGATTGCTGCTGCTTTGCAGCTGTATTCCCCTGCCCCTAATTAAATTTCAAGCTATTCAAGCAATAATTCTGTGAAAGCCTTTAAATTTCAACAAACACTTGTTTCTGAATGTTCACCAATGGTCTTATGTGTTACTTTTAACCCCTGGCTGGTAAGATGATCTCTTGAATAAATAAACAAAAGCACATCTAAGTGAGAGATCAAGACAATCATCCATCATTTAACACCACATTTATGACATTTTATTCTTACATAGTGAAATATAAGTTTAACATCCCAGAAATTCTGAACTACACACACACCATATGTATGGGTGTGGTCACAAAGTAACTACCAACTTTAATTTTGTTAACAGGCTTTTTTCTGAGTAACTTGATCCTAAGGTGCATGAAAATGCTAAGTAAGTTAAATATTTACGGTCTGTATGGTAAACTCAGATAAAAGATGAAAATTTTCATCTTCTGTTGGGTTTGTGACCTTTTGACACCCTTATGACATCATTGCAGTATTGTTTAATGAAATGTAATTTAAATTGAACAGCTAATCAACATGAATCAAACAGGAGTGTTAAAATTTCAGTGTTAAACTTTTGGGTGTTGATTTAACACCCCCTAGTGTTATTTTAACACCATCCATCCATCCATCCATCCATCCATCCATCCATCCATCCATCCA